CTGTATCAGTTCCTTTTCTGTTGGTATTGCATGACCAGAAGCAACTGAAGGCAGAAAGGATGTGTTTTAGCTTATGGCTCCAGGGGGATAGAGTCCATCGTGGCTGGGAATGCATGACATAGTGGCAGGAGTGGGAAGCTGACGGATCACATGTCATTAACAGACAGGAAGGGAGAGAGGCTAGCAGGAACAAGAAGTGGGATGGGGCTGAAAACCCTCAAATCATTCCCCTCATGATATGCTTCCTCTAACAAGGCTCTCCCTCCTAAATAGCCTCTCCAAATGGTGCCACAAACTGGGGACCAAATGTTCAAATACAGGAGCCTGTGTGGAACATTACTCCTTCAAATCACCACACCGTCCTTGTTAAACAGTTGCAGAGAGGTTGGTGTTACTGTGCCCATGTCCTAGGAATTTGTGGAAGTTGGAGCTAAGGTCTCTGGCGGAAGAATTTATAAGCTAAATATTGAAGGAGCTGTGCGATTGCTTTTTATTGAGTGTAGTAAGATATGAAAGAATAAGAATGGCTTAATTAAACCAGAAGGGGGAGAGAGTTTGGGAAACTTCTCAGCTGGTCAGATAAAGAATGAAGAGGCAGTTTTAGAAGATGAAATTAGGGGTGTGACTAAAGGAGTGTTTATTAGAAATTACCATGGATGACAGGCAACCAGGTTCCAGTTATCAAGATATCAGGGAATAACCTCAGAGACATTTCTTCAAAATAGGTTGGGTCCTCCAGGATAAAGCTCCCAGAGAGGTGTCCTAAAGTTCTCAGCGTTCACTTGCTGGGCCACTTTGGGACTCTGCTTCTTGTAGTCTGGTTCAGTGCACCTTGGCCATCCCTGCTGTGGCTCAAGCAGGTCTAGATATAGCTTAAGACTGACATTCTAAGGGGTACATGTGGTAGACCATCATAGCATCTACTTGGTACTAGTTCTATAGCTATGCAGAGTTCATGAGCTAGGAGACTATGATGGCCTCCATCTAATATCGCAGACAGCCTGGGAGCCCATGAAGAAACTTGCTACTGGGACAAAGAGGGGGTATTTAGAGAGTTTCTACTACAACAGTGCCTAGAAAGTCAAGGGATGGGAATGTGGCAGTTTCTGAGACCTCAGAATTATACCACCACTAAACCCCTTCAGCTGCAGGTAGAAGACCTAACATATAAGAGCTGTTAAGTGGACTAAGCCGATCCTAACCTTAGAGGCAGAGCAGCCTGGGTGCTTGGTAACCCTGTGCCAGGGTGTGGTACATTTACCTAAAGATTATTCTGGAGCCTGAATATTTGACACTCTCCACATTGTTGGGCTATAGACTTACATGGAACCAGTTACGCATTTCTTTGTGCTTAGTTCTTCTTATGGAATGGGAATATCTGCCTATTTGTCTCATCATTGTATCCTGGGCTCACACATCATATTTAATTTTAGCATCTCATAGCTGGAGAGGAATTTGTCTCCTGATGTATCATATCCAGGGTCTCCCCCACAATTGCTTTAGTGAGAGTCGAGATTGTGGGTTGGTATTGGACCAGTTAAGTCTTTGGGGCTACTGAGATAGAATGAATACAGTTTTCATGTGAGAAAGATGTGAAGTTTTAGGGCCAGATGTGGCATGCTGTGGCTTGAATGTGTCCTTCTCAAAAGCATGTTGGAAACTTAAACCCTGGTGCAGCAGTGTTGAAGGGTGGGGGTGGACATTAGTGGGAAGCATTTCGGCCAAAAGTGCTCCACTCCCATGGATGCTTAGAGGCGTTGTGGAAGGAAAGGCTGGAGATGGTGAAACCAGTGTCTCTTCTTATAGTCTCTTACCCTTCTACCTTCTTCCGTGGAATGACACAGTTAGAAGCACCTTGCCAGAGTCAGACACCCAGTGTTGGCTAGCCCAGCTTCTTAAGAAACAAATCTCTATTCTTTATAAGTATATGGGTCTTGGTGTTCTGTGAACATGGACTAGAGCAGATCCTCAGCAGAGGGGGTAACAAATGTAATAGCCTAAGCAAAGAGCACATATACACCCTGAAAAGTTCTCCAGGATACACTCATGCTAAGGTAACTCCAATTTCCCGCTTATACACGGCCTGGCAAAATGGAAATGGAGCCCTTTAAGAGATCCAGGGATGTGGCTAGTGGAGTGCTTGATTGTAATTCTAGCACCTGGGAGATGGAAAAAGAAGGATCTGATGTTTGCAGTCATCTTTGGCCTCACACAATGTGATGTTAAGGCCCCTCTGATCTACATGAGACCTTTTGGGGCCTAGGGGGAGAGTCTGCCCATCAATTGGGGAGAGAGTGGCTCCCTAAGGACTGAACCTCATCATGTGTCATGCCCAACAATGACATCTTCATGTCATTCAGACAATGGCTTGAGGATTTATTCAATTGGCTATTTCCTTGATTGATCCATGAGAGTAAGAATAATTTTCACAGGGAATCATTTGAAAGCCCCTGGTTTTGTTTACTGAAATGTGGGAGCTCTCAGCTCTGTTCCCCTTCCTTGAGAAATATAAATGTGTGGGTAATGTGCTGTTGGGAAGCTTTTACAATCTGCAGTATTTGAGAAGTAATAAGATACTGTTGTTAGCTGACCATCTGGTTATATATTCTTGGTGTTGTGGCTTACTTTTTTTTCATTATTTTTTTAAAACTGGTGAAGGGCAAGGAATGAGAGTTAAAAAATTTACAGAGATGACTTTCTTACATAAACAAAGAATTTATGTTTAGAGGTGCAACATGTTTAGGTCTTGTTTCCTGAGGAATAGAAAATGAACAGCCCATTATATATAGGTTGTCTCATTTTCTTTTTCAAAAAATAAACTAACCTTAACTCCTAATTTGATCTCCAGCTCCAAACTTTTGGCTTATGTGAAAAATAGTCTCTTTGCCGGAAAGAGGAGTCAAACATAAATTACAGCTCTAGAAAGAAAAATCACCTGCAGAAAAAACCTATAGAGATTTCATATTTCATCCATTCATTCAAAACTATTTATCGAAACCCAAGTATTTGCATCTCACGCTCGCAGACACCAAGGGATTTGCTAAAGAAACATCAAGATACTCCCCTTTCCTTCGAAGGGCTTAGTGCTTTCTTGGGGAGAAATGGCATGGGCATATGAAACAGTTAAGTTGTAATTCAAGGCAGCATACGATTAAATATCAAAATGTGTGGTTCCGACAAGAAATGCTATAGTTCAGAAAAGGGAGTGATAACTCTGCGACATGGCTGGTTTTTTCTGCCTACAAATTGGCAAATCGTAGCACTATTTGTATGAAATATTTTACACTTGTTTTTTTGGCAGCCTTAGGCCTTGACTTCCAGTCAGCATTAAGAGCCTGCAAAAATATTTGCACTCCAGTCTCCGTAGAATTGGCTTAATTTTTCTTCCCTTCTTTCTTCTAGGCACAGGGAGTGCCCTGATACAAACCAGAGGGCCCGGAAGAGGCAGGGCATTTTTGACAGTCACAGTCTTTTTCAGATACAGACCAGCCTTGTCATTCCCTGTGCTCCAGAGCTGCGGTGCTGGCAAACTCCTTCTGACATTGAGAGAGGTTTAATTTGAACTTAACGTCCGTGACGGACGAGTGAGCCATCAAGGGTCAGCTAGATTTACGGCCTTGGAGAATCACTAATGAAAACCCCTCTGGTTGTGACGTTGGAGAAGGACTGACACAGATGTGTGTGTGGTGGGGGGTTGTGATACATATGTACCCCTGGGGGGCCCAGTCTCATGGTGGGTGACAAGCTAAGAGTGACTAGTGAAACTCACCAACTTCCTACTCTATATTTGTCATATGCAAATGAGCACAGAATCAAAGAGAAGCAACGAGGCCTAAATTGCTAAGAATTAAAAAGAGGAAGAAGAAATAAATTCTTTTGAAGTTAGATGGATTGTTTGGGCCCATTCATAACTGCACTGCTCCCCTGCCCAAAGTGATTGCTGTCACCATGTAGATGTGTGGGAATGTCCTGAATCATGGGTGTTTAGTGTTCTTTTAAAACTCAAGGTTGTTCACTTGTTGTCAACTTCATTTTAGTCTTTGCCTGGGGCGTGTGTGTAGTATTTAAAGCTACTCCATATTACTCATAGAAAGTGTTCACGGATCTGCGCCATTTGAAGATAATATGGTACTTGGTGTTCATTCTCCTTGTTGGGTTGGTGGCCCATCTGGTAAGTTAATGTGACCTAGAGTGACCAACACATCAAGGAAGACAGTGCTTGCAGTTTCAGAGCATCTATTTATCAGAGTATGTGGCCCTGGCCACAACCTAAGATTTATTTGGGGCATCCTCCAAGCTGTCTGACCTGGGAAAGTGGCCTTGCAAAATGTTTTACTCATATCTTTTGATATAATTTGGTATCTGTCTAAATAAATGTTCTGGAGCAGCAGATGGCTAAGGAATGTCTTATTATATTCTTGGGCAGACTCTGCCCTTGAAATATTTTCATTTAATCATCATGTTGCAAAGCACAAAACAGTAGCTTTATTATTTTTTTAACACAAAATGAATCACTCACTAGGTTGGTATTCTAGCAATGTGTTGTAAACCTAAAATGTATATAAAATATAAACCTTGTCTGGACTGTCCTTAGGAGGAATTTCTCCACAGGAACTCAGTATTTTTGAATCTGTGAGAGGATGGGATTTGGATGGATGTCTCTGATGATGTCATCTTAAGAGATCACTTAGGAGTCTAAGTACAACATGTTTTCAACATTTGTCCTCTGCTTCTTGCCCTGATAAAATCACACACACACACACACACACACACACACACACACACACACACACACACACACACACCACACACAGCCTCTGCTGTTTCTTTGTTGCTTTTTATGCTTTTAATATAAAATCCCTATTCTCACTCAAAATCAATAGCCCACTGTACCAAGTGTTTTGTACTGAAGCTGATTGTGAGAAAGTTGTAATTAATGTGCGTGTGTATGGCTGCCAATTTACCAATTGGTGATTTTTGTTTTGTTTTTGTTTTTTTAGGTGCACTTTTCGAGGAGACTGCACACATGGAGGGAGCTTTGAAAACTGGCTGGATATTTCATCTGGACCTAAAAAATGCCCTAAAATTCAGATAATTCGAAACCTTAGAGAGAGGGTAAGAGGAAATGTTTTTGTATTTATGATACTGTCTTATGTGGTACAGCTTCTTTCTGGGTATAAAGAAAATCTTTTAACAACGGAATAGTCTTAGTGACAGGAGTCCACTCATTATGTTGGTGAATGGTGAGGGCCTCCCAGATGCCATTCATCTGCAAGGTGCTGAAGATACAGTAATAACCTAGTCAAGGCACAGCCCACCCCGATGGAGTTGTCATCTTGCTAGGTAAAGATGACTTTCATTAGTTGGAATCAGTTGGAAGATGCATTTTTTGATGTAGTAGAAATACACCTTGATTTTAGAGAAAAATAAGTTCAGCAGATCCCCGCAATGTGGTTCACTGTGGGATTTTGTTTGGATCAACCAGTCTTTACACCACAGTGCTCAGTCTCAGAACAACTGTCCATACACATGGAGTGAAGCAGTTGGACGGACCAAAGCGAACGGGTCCCTTGGAACGCTCTTGACATGGATTGAGAGAAGGGACACATTGAACATATTGTAGCGGAGTTCTCCCTGACACATATGCCTACCCTGCCTTGCGGGGAATGGAATTCCTTGCACAGGACTGTAAGGAGACATTTTCTCCCTAATCACGGCTCTTGTGTTCTGAGTAATCGCACAGAATCCCCGCCAGCAGCCAGTTGACCTGTCTGTTGCACTCACTGTGTTTTATTTGAATGCCACATTAACAAAGAAATGGGCCACTTTCTCTTCTCACTTTGCCATTTCAAATAGCAAGAACCATGCCACTTAAGATGATTTAACATTTAATAAAGGAAAGCCAGGGCATTTAATGAGAGATAAATAATAAAGGAATCGAGCTTTCACGGCGTGACCCATCAGAACTCGTGGGCTGAAAGTTACTTGGTCTTGTCGCTTTCTGCTGTCTTCTGGAAGGAGGTTGATCTCCAAAACTCCAGAGTCACTCCTGCCAGCTCTCTGTGCCAGGGGGTCAGATGCAGGGTAAATGAAGTTCAGCCATCCATACGCAGAGATAGCCAAGTTCTTCTCAGACTGGTCTGAAAATCCAGCTGACTTTTGGTGCTAAGGCAAAGTATTAAGTATTAAGTTGAAAGTATTAAGACATTTTTATGTCCTCAGGACTCTGCTAAGTGGTTAGGATTATGCTAGGTGTTTTCCCTTTGTCATTAAAAGAACCCTTAAGGGGGACACTTTGTGTCCTAGGAAAAAGTAGGTTGTAAGCACTGCTCATAAAATTAGCTTACCAATCGAGGGATGATGTAACCAAATCATCATTTACATGTGATCTAGAACATTTCAAAAACATGCCTAGGTCACAATGCAGTAAACAAGGTCACACCTGTAATCTCACCACTCAAAAGGCAGAGGCAGGAGGATCTCTGTGAGTCTGAGACCAGCATGGCTCCTACTTTAAGTTTCCTGTCAGCTAGGACTCCATAGTGAGACCCTGTCTCAAACAAAACAGAGCCAAAAGGCTTGCAGACAAACACTCACTAGTTCTGTCTTCCCCACCCTGAGTCCCCACTGTGGCTTGCCACTGGGCAGAGCACAGTCTTCCACAGGGTCGTTACATCACTGTCCACACATCAGAGATAAGAATTTAGTTAATTTCTAAAATGTACACTTCATGATTTTGTGTGTGCTGCTTATGCACGCCATGGCATGGATGTGCTCCACCGTGAGCACTAAAGCCGATTCCCTTCTTCCACCATGGGGGTCCCGGGGATCGAACTCAGGTCACCAGACTTGACTTCAAATGCCTTTACCTGCTGAGCCATCTCACCCACCCGACACTTTGGTAATCTCACTTAAGCTATTCTTTAAAACTTTCTCTGCACTCTTGAACCCAGACCTTATGCATACCAAAGGCAAACGCTCTACCGGATTGATTCTTTTAGGAGTATTGATGAGAAATAACTCCCTTTTCCCTCTCTCTCTTCCCCTCTCCCTCCTTTCCTCTCTAACTCTGCTTTACTACTTAGCTATATTACCAAACCTGACCCCTCTTAATCATGGTATTTCAAAATATTTCTTAGTCCATGACCAGCCACCTGTGACTTACCTGCAGGCTTAGGCCATTGTTTCAACAATACCTGACCCTTGCCTAAAGAGATGGCAGTCTGTGATTGTCCCCAGATCAGTCTATTAGTTAAGGTCAAAGACCATTTGTGAGCTGCCCATCAAATGCCTGGTAACATTCTAGTACCTTTGTGTGTACAGGGAAAAAAAACATAAATTACAAAATGTTTGTTCATAAGAAACATTATTTCTTTACACAAACCAGCTAGAGAATAGGATATCTTCATCTTCACTGAGGAATACATAATTAAAAGAATTAATTAGAGCAGTCCCTGTTAGTCTAGGAGGGATGTCTCTGAGGTTTTTGTTTAGCAAAAAGAGCAAGAGGCAGAACGCAGTCTGCTATTGAACAAAGATTTCCTGTTTATGCATGTGTGTCTCCAGATGATTATGTGAGCATTGTGTTAGGGTTCTCTAAAGAAACATAATTTATAGGGAGGGAGGAGAGAAGGAGAGAGAGAGGATTGTGTGTAAATGAATATACATGTATATATGCATATATATGCATTAAAATGTGATTTATTGGAATGACTTACAGGCTGTGGTCTGAGTAGTCCAAAAATGGATGTCTCCCATCCAAAAGGCCAAGGATCTGGTAGTTGTTCAGTCCATGAGACTGTATGTTGTTGCAGTCCCCATCTGGTGCTGCAGTCTCAGAGAAATTGTAGAGAGTTGCTGTTCTTCAGTCTCCATTGGAATCCCAAAGAAATAGGCTCTAGTAACAGCGAAGGGATGCCTCAACAACAGGACAGATGAACTTGCTAGCAAGAGTGAGAACAAGCAGGCAAAAAATAGAAGCTTCCTTCTTCTATTTCCCTTTATATGGGCTGCCACCCGAAGGTGTGACTCAGACTTAAAGTAGGTCCTCTGACCTCAAATACAGTCAAGAAAATCCTCCCAGGTGTGCCCAGATGCTTGGGTTTTAGTTGATTCCAGATGCAGTGAACAACCAAGATTAGCCACCACAAACATGGAGACCAGTATGCAGGGACTTTGTACATGGTTGTGAGCATGGCTTTCTTAGCTGAATGACTGGTGTTGATGGAGAAGGACGTAGACATTGCACAATAAATAAGAGCAATACAGTAAACAAGCATAAAGAGATTCAGTGTTAAGTGAAAAGGGTTTACCCATAAAATTATGACAGAAGAACAAAAAGCATTTCCCACAAAGCAGCCTAAAGAGAGGTGGCAGAGTGACTTCCACAAATCAGAATTGTAAGAAGAAACTCTGCCAGCACTAATTCTGTCAACAGTGTTTCTTGTCCAGTTGAACAAGAAACAAGTAACATAAATAATTTGAAATGAAATACAGAAAAATGTCACTGTTTGCTAATTGTTAGTTGTTGCATATATTCTAAATACATGCATTTAAAAAACTGTTCTAGGATCCTAGGATGTAACTGGGAAGGAAAGCATATGGTAAGAGCGAGATCCTACTCTGATCCACAGTGTCCCCAAGCTTAAAAATAGCAGAAATATGTTAACGAATAAACCCAATTACAGATGTTCAGCTAATACTCAAATACTAAAAATCATACTGTGCTTTCAGGTAAACAAACTTGCAACCTCCATTCTTTAAGAAAAAATTCCACTTATAAAAGCAGTAGAAATATTCAAGGACAAACTTCAGAAGCAATGTGTATCTCCTGTGATTAAAAATCACTTTTATTAAGAGACATTTTTTAGAGACAGCTACCAAAAATAGGAATTTATTTTTTGGCTTTGCAACAGTTTGTCTCAATCATTTTTTTCCTGAGATTAATTAGGTAGTATGACAGTGGTCTATTGAACCGATTTATAATCTGTCATAGTAGAACCTTATCAGCTAAAAACTTAAGTGTAAATGAACATGTAGAAGACGCCCGTTTGGAAGGTAGGAAAACGTCTATGGGCATCTGTAAGCATCCCATGCTGCTTAGGAAATGGTACTTCTACAACATATTTTTTTACAGTTTGAAATGAGTAGGAATTTTCTTAAAACAATAGTGTATTTGTGTGGAATAATATGATCTGATTTAGACTATCTTAAATATATGTATTTTTAAAAGTTCACTTAGGCATGACCACTGTCGATTGTAAACAAATACATTATCTCACAAATGCATTGCATGTTTGTACAGTAAGTCTATAGTGTTGGATGGATGTCAATAGCAATTTTCAGTCTGTTCTGAGTTTAAAATAGTGATACAGACACATAGACTAGAACTCAGAAATTAATATAAGAATTTCAAAGATCATATGTTACAAAATAAGGAGAACCAGAGGAATTTTATTACAGAGTAATAACTTACAAACTGTGGAAGCTTTTGTTTCATAATTCATGTTAGATGTGAAAGTATAATGCAGGGCTGGAGAGATGGCTCAGCAGTTAAGAGCGTTTGCTGCTCTTCCAGAGGACCCGAGCTCCACACCTACATGGAGTGACTCACACCTGCCTGCAACTCCAGTTCCAGGGGACCTGACACCCTCTTCTGATCTTCTGGCCTCCATATATACACGTAAATTAAAAAATAAAATATTTTAAAAATAGAAAGAAAATCTTGTATAGTTAGGTAATTTAATAAAATATCACAAAAAATGGAATCAAACATCACATAATTTGAAGTTATGATAATTTTCTTAGCTCTGATGTATGTAATGACAAATGAAAATATTCATACAATCAATTTACTTAAAAAAAAAAAAAACAACCTTACCCGGGTGGTGGTGGCACACACCTTTAATCCCAGCACTCGGGAGGCAGAGGCAGGCAGATCTCTATGAGTTCGAGGCCGGGCTGGACCAACAGCCTCCAAAACAATACAGAGAAACCCTGTCTCATAAAACCAAAAAAAAAAAAAACCAAACAAACAAAAAAAAGCCTTAGGCTGGAGGTATTGGTCAGCAGTAGAGGGACTGCCTAGCATGTGTAAGTTCGTGGCTTTAACCTCA